ATATATAGGTTAGGTTTTCCAGCAGCTTCAGATCTTAGCCCACTTAGACTGGCGAAATATCACAAGTTTTTTATTTTTATTTTAATAAACAACTAAATAAATACAAGGTAGGGTTGGGCAATATTGGCAAAAAAATTAATCACGATTAATTGTGGTATTTAGCCGGTAACGATTAATTTGATGAATAATCCCTTGGAGTCCCTGGACACCCTTATTCCGAAGTCACATGAGCAATTTAGTGGGAAAGATTTGCTATTTGTAAAAAAAAATCCAAATTATGTGAAAATTACAGATTTCAGGCTATACATCATATTTTAAATTGTGTTGATAAATAAATTACAGAACTTTATTTTTAATGTTCATCATATTTGAAGTGGAGAGGAGCAACAAGCAGACTGACCGGAGTAATCTCCAGTCAGTCTGACTGGTGATATTAATCGTATTAATCATCAACTGCCAAAAAGTAATCGATTAATGTTTTTCTGACGATTAATTGCACACGATACGATTATGCCCAACCATAATAAAAGGTAGACTGAGATGCACCTTTGTTAGAATCCTGAGCATACAAGTGAAATTATGTAAGCGTTGTTAAACTCCGATGACTAAAACAGCGGAAACAGATACGCAATCACTTTAAATGGCACAACAGGGGAAACAGCTAAATGCTAGTTTTGATTTAACACGAGAACAAACAATTTTATGACTCCACTTGCTAAAAAAATATATAGAAAACTTCTCTTTACACTTCTTGTAACCATACAAAGCATGCAATTAAGCCATGTGTAATAAATATGTGACATAATATACAGAAACCTACCAGTCGTGATCGAAGGTATGCTGAAATGATAGTTTGAATTTTGGCGCATTTGCATTAGCCAAGGGTATGCTATTCTGTCAGAACATCGGTTCGGTTTGCTTGTGATCCAGCTTAGTCCAGAACTGCTTAATGGTCTACCTGTTCTGTCCTGGTCGGTCCGGTCCGCCCCAGGAACGGTTCTGGTCCGGTCCTGTTCGGCAGGTCTGAATGTATTTTCTCCGTTTCAACAGAAAAACATCCTGAATAAAGTTTCCTCTGGGTTCAGAAGTAGTTTTTATTTTTCATGAATTATTTAATTTAAATTTATCCCAAACTGTCAGGAAGAGAAGGATCAAACCCAAGTTAATAAAGTTATTTATCTGTCAAATACAAAGTTTTATTAAATAAAATCTGAAACGTTTTTTTGAACAAAGTGAAAAATGAGGAGGTGAAACTTTCAGCGGATGTTTTCTGATGATTAATATAAAGCGAATAAATCCAATCTCATCAAATGTTTGGTTTTCATTTACTCGATTTGTAAATCATTTAAAACTACACTCACCGGCCACTTTATTAGGTACACCACKCTAGTAACGGGTTGGACCCCCTTTTGCCTTCAGAACTGCCTCAATTCTTCGTGGCATAGATTCAACAAGGTGCTGGAAGCATTCCTCAGAGATTTTGGTCCATATTGACATGATGGCATCACACAGTTGCCGCAGATTTGTCGGCTGCACATCCATGATGCGAATCTCCCGTTCCACCACATCCCAAAGATGCTCTATTGGATTGAGATCTGGTGACTGTGGAGGCCATTTGAGTACAGTGAACTCATTGTCATGTTCAAGAAACCAGTCTGAGATGATTCCAGCTTTATGACATGGCGCATTATCCTGCTGAAAGTAGCCATCAGATGTTGGGTACATTGTGGTCATAAAGGGATGGACATGGTCAGCAACAATACTCAGGTAGGCTGTGGGGTTGCAACGATGCTCAATTGGTACCAAGGGGTCCAAAGAGTGCCAAGAAAAGATTCCCCACACCATGACACCACCAGCACCACCAGCCTGAACCGTTGATACAAGGCAGGATGGATCCATGCTTTCATGTTGTTGACGCCAAATTCTGACCCTACCATCCGAATGTCGCAGCAGAAATCGAGACTCATCAGACCAGGCAACGTTTTTCCAATCTTCTCTTGTCCAATTTCGATGAGCTTGTGCAAATTGTAGCCTCAGTTTCCTGTTCTTAGCTGAAAGGAGTGGCACCCGGTGTGGTCTTCTGCTGCTGAAGCCCATCTGCCTCAAAGTTCGACGTACTGTGCGTTCAGAGATGCTCTTCTGCCTACCTCGGTTGTAACGGGTGGTTATTTGAGTCACTGTTGCCTTTCTATCAGCTCGAACCAGTCTGCCCATTCTCCTCTGACCTCTGGCATCAACAAGGCATTTCCTCCCACAGGACTGCCGCTCACTGGATGTTTTTTCTTTTTCGGACCATTCTCTGTAAACCCTAGAGATGGTTGTGCGTGAAAATCCCAGTAGATCAGCAGTTTCTGAAATACTCAGACCAGCCCTTCTGGCACCAACAACCATGCCACGTTCAAAGGCACTCAAATCACCTTTCTTCCCCATACTGATGCTCGGTTTGAACTGCAGGAGATTGTCTTGACCATGTCTACATGCCTAAATGCACTGAGTTGCCGCCATGTGATTGGCTGATTAGAAATTAAGTGTTAACGAGCAGTTGGACAGGTGTACCTAAAAAAGTGGCCGGTGAGTGTAGAAGCACTCGGAGAGTGCAAACCTCCGTCAAGACCAATTTCCACCATCCTGTAAGAGTTAATGTGCAAAAGCAGAGATGGAAACACATTTGCTGAATAAGTTCTGACGTAGTGAACATTTAAGCAGGCAGTATGCATGGGATTTCTTCTCGGTAGAGTCCAGTGTGGGAAAAAAAAGTCAGACTCATCACTCAACGTTATTCATTGTCAAACTGGTGTGGGATTAAGCTCCTAAGTTTTCATCAGTCACATTTCACCATGTAAAACGTCTGTTTTATCCCCTTGTATGAGTTTGTAATGGTTTGACTCTTTATAAAGTGCTTCCTGGCTCCCCCCGCCTCCAAACTTTGAGGCCGGCAGCTCTCTGTTTACAAGCCTCGGAGAGAGAAACTGTTTTGATTGGTTGTTTGGGAAATGTGGTGTGTTTGAGGAAATGGAAAAAATAGGTTTCATGGTGCAGTCACGCACTTCCTGGTCACAAAACGTTCTCTAAATGCGCACCAAATGTGTAAAAATGCGCACATTGTGGCAAAAATTATTCATCATTAAATCTGGTTTTAACATTACTTTTATAAAGTTTGAAGTCCGTGCTGTCCAATCCAGCTCACTGTTTTTTACAGAAGCCCTGTGAAAGCATCACAGCTTTGCCGATCTCAGAGTGTTAAAAGAAAAAAAATTCCTGTATCCGCATCGCGATCCTGAACATCACCAAAATTTAAAGTTCTGTTCTTTGGCCCAGTACCCACATGTGGTAAAAATGTCATGACAATCCGTCCTCAAGTTTTGGAGTAATGTTGTCCACAGACAGACAGACAGACATACACGACCGAAAACATTACCTCGCCCTTGGCGGAGGTAACAAATTAGTTTTTATTTCTGCATCTGTGATCCATCTTCTGGTTCTGTTTCTGTCTCCACAGGGGAGAGAATGTAACGGAGTCCGTGTCCCTGTGGACACGACCAAGCCCAACCCCAATGAGGTGGAGTTTGATAATCTGTATTTGGACATGAACGGGATCATCCACCCCTGCACTCATCCAGAGGACAAGTAGGAACCACTTGTTGTTGTTCATGTTTCCTCCCTCTGGAGAAGAAGCTGCTGATGGCTTTTAAAGCCTCTCGGGCAACTAAGAGCTAAAACTGCTGAAAAAGATTTATTGTGGATTGATTGAGCTGAAACTGACAGATTTCTCTGTAAAAACTCTAATCTGGTTCTTGGTCTTCACAGACCGGCACCTAAAAACGAAGATGAAATGATGGTTGCTATTTTTGAATACATTGATCGGCTGTTTACCATCGTGCGTCCGCGAAGGGTCCTCTACATGGCCATCGATGGAGTGGTAAGTCCAGACTGACCCGGTACTGGGTTCAGACCACAACAACAACATTAATATTTGTGAAACCTCACAGCTTGTCTTGATTTTGAGATGTTTTATTGGACCTGCTGAGTTCTGTGGATAAAACTGCTCTGCTTTGGTTTGGACTGAACAGCTGTTAAAATGTTAGATAATAAAAAACAAAGTTCATAATTCAACAATAAAAAAGGAGAATTTACAAAAATCTTGATCCGCCTCAGTCTGAAAAGGTTAAATGTGTAAAACAGACCTCTGTCCTCACTGACTGGGCCGCTGCTGTCATCCCTACAGGTTGAACAGTGCGCTCACGTTTGTTTTCATGTCAGAGTTTTAGAGTAAGAGATCGACTCCTAGTCAGAGATGATGGAGATGCTGTCCTTCTGTAGAAGATGAGAACATGGGAACATGTGGGGTTCTGCTGGGTTCTACATCACCTAAATGTTTATCTTCCTCAGGCTCCAAGAGCCAAAATGAACCAGCAGCGCTCACGACGATTCCGTGCCTCCAAAGAAGGAGTTGAGCTGACAGACGAGAAGAACCGCATTAGAGAGGAGATCATCCAGAGAGGTGTGTAGTGTTTTAACTTTTTATGATACTACTCAGGAAGTACACCTGGACTGTAGGGTTGATTATCTGGAAGTACACCTGGACTGTAGGGTTGATTATCAGGAAGTACACCTGGACTGTAGGGTTGATTATCTGGAAGTACACCTGGACTGTAGGGTTGATTATCAGGAAGTACATCTGGACTGTAGGGTTGATTATCTGGAAGTACACCTGGACTGCAGGGTTGATTATCAGGAAGTACACCTGGACTGCAAGGTTGATTATCAGGAAGTACACCTAGACTGTAGGGTTGATTATCCGGAAGTACACCTGGACTGTAGGGTTGTTTAACAGGAAGTACACCTGGACTGTAGGATTGATTATCTGGAAGTACACCTAGACTGTAGGGTTGATGATCAGGAAGTACACCTAGACTGTAGGGTTGATGATTAGGAAGTACACCTGACTGTAGGGTTGATTAACAGAAAGTACACCTGGACTGCAGGATTGATTAACAGGAAGTACACCTGGACTGCAGGGTTGATTATCAGGAAGTACACCTGGACTGCAGGGTTGTTTATCACGAAGTACACCTGGACTGTAGGGTTGATGATCAGGAAGTACACCTGGACTGTAGGGTTGATCAACAGGAAGTACACCTGGACTGTAGGGTTGATTAACAGGAAGTACACCTGGACTGCAGGGTTGATTATCAGGAAGTACACCTGGACTGCAGGGTTGTTTATCACGAAGTACACCTGGACTGTAGGGTTGATGATCAGGAAGTACACCTGGACTGTAGGGTTGATCAACAGGAAGTACACCTAGACTGTAGGGTTGATCAACAGGAAGTACACCTAGACTGTAGGGTTGATCAACAGGAAGTACACCTAGACTGTAGGGTTGATCAACAGGAAGTACACCTAGACTGTAGGGTTGATCAACAGGAAGTACACCTAGACTGTAGGGTTGATTATCAGGAAGT